ATGTTTTTTATTTCTTTTCACTGAAACGAATATTAGCATTTTGATAAAATTTGGCACACAAATAGACTATTGCCCGATTTCACCAACGTCACCTAAGTTAAAGGGATCCCCTAAGCATGGTAAGGGGGCTGTTAGGGGATAATTTCTGTTTCACCGACAGTTAAGGGTCACCTAAATGTTAAAAGGCCCCCTAAATTTAGGTGCTCGAATATATCGGCTTAAAGACGATGGTAAAACGAAATTTAATTTAGGGGGCAGTTTAGGGGAATTTTAAGCTAGGGATCCCATACGTAAGAGGTAGCTTATGGGTTGTTGGTGAAATCGGGCATATGAACTGCGTTAACATAAAGGCTACTTGTTACTTCTTAGGAACGTCCACGGAAGCTTCGAGGCTCGATCTATTTTGTATAAATAAACTTTGAAAATTTGCTATTTAGTATAAGCTTATATCTATACTATATACCTTAATATATGCTTATAGTAAGGTTTCACAATAGAAAAGCCAAATTCAACAATTGAATACTTTCTATACAATTTATGGGGAAACATTTTTAGAAACTCACCTTACGAAGCGCCATTTTATTAGCGGTACTTTAAATCATAAAGCTGTTATATTTTAACTTATGGTATTATATATCCATACTTCACCTGCAGACGGCTACGGCCTTGTTTTCGCCGTACAAATTAACACAAATTATTGCTTGGCTCAAACTACAATAAAATTTCAGTCAAAGCATTATGTACTTTATTAAGTAAAATATAAAGATAGAAATGGTTTAGTTTTATAATTGTGTGTGGAAATTCATAAATCAGTGCCAAAATTCACTTTACCCATTTACCATGTTATCGACATTAAGTCTTGTGATGATTTTATGCATATAAAATCTAAGTGTAGTAGAAAAGTAAAATATAAATTCCTGTTATCTATACAGACAAATAAAATTAAAGTGTCTGTTTGTAATGTCAATATAACAATTTACTAAATGCATATGAAATTATATACGGTACATATAAAAAAAAAACTATTTTTTTTGTGTCTGTTCCGGATAATCTCCGAAACGGCTGGACCGATTTTGAGGGGACTCTCACTGGCAGATATCTGTTATAAGGAGTAACTAAGGCTAATTTTATTTTAGACTAGCATTGCCCGAATTTCTATCTATAGTAAATACTTTTATCTCTGTCGTAAATTTATACATATAAATAATTTGCTAAATAAACGAGAATCAATACAGGATTATAAAAAAAAAACGCTATTTTACTTTAAACTAAAAATTAAAAAAAAAAACTACAAAAATACAAATCGAATGCACCAACCGGCTGACATCACGACAAGATATAACAAACTAACAAAATTTTCACATACACTTGCCAAATCGCAGCCATGAATCATCCCACAACACTGCAAACATTTACATATATATACTCACCACGAATGAAAGAAACAACACGATAAAATAAACAAATTTTAATTTATTGATAATAATAACTAAAAAAAATATTTTACACAATACATTATAATTAGTTTTACACCACTAAGAATAATTATTTTTAACATACCAAGTGGACTAGCAAATAAAAGTTAACTTATACAAATCTTGTTTATAATAAGTTTCAAAGGAATCGGTACACGGGGACGCTTTCGCCTAACGATTTCTGGTTTCCCATCAAACCCATGGATGTACACCGTCCCCTGGATTAAGATTTATATAATATTACAGTTACAGGATAATATATGGCAGTCCATCCCAATACCACGATGTAAAAGTGAGAAAAATTGGTCTGAATAGAAAATATAAACCGAATGGGAACCTTTAAACTATCCATTAAATATGGTAATATATATATATTAATAACGCTATCATAGATTGTCGTACACCGATCTGAAAAGAAGCCGTTACAGTAGAAAACAATTTTTATTTTTAAAAAAGTCTTATATCCTATGCATAATTCTAGCAATCCAGAGTTATCTTTTTTTTTGTTTTCATCTGTGAAACTGGAGGAACGGTATAATCTGTGATATATATTTTCGCGCCAATTTTGACAGTTCCCAAGTCGCACAGGTAAAAACAGGAATATGCGAAACATCCTTACATAGACAAATATATTCATGCATAATTTAAATCTATTTACTGAAGGGAAAGAGTATAGAAAAAAAATTCAAAAAAAAAAACAAAGAAAGAATCACGAACATGTTTTGTGAAAACGTTAATACAAAATGGCGGTGCGTTTTTTTATTGATATGCCACTCCTAAAACCGTTGTCTTTAGTCGTCTTACGAAATAAATTAATTAATTAATTTTAAAAAAGAAAAAGTAAATAGAGCGCCTGTATTTTGAAATTTGTGCTGATAGTTGATAGAAATATTACAATTGAGCATGATATATTTGAACGAACAACCGAGAGGCGTGTGTGCTCAGACGTAGCATGTACCGCCGCGACAACCGTACGCGCTTCCCTTAATTATAAACATCTACATTTTACATTGTAACCTATCTAGACAAAAGGCTTAATTTAAATGAAAATAAACAAAAATAGCGACAACCATCCATCGACTAAAACAAAGCCAACATTTGTGCTTACCCGAACAAATACTGCGACCGTTTAGTGTTAAATTATATAGGAAATAAACAACTGTTCATTTCGAAGCAACAGAATGTTGAAGTTACAAATGCCTAATAAAGCCTATGCTAGCTTATACTATAATGACATCGAGACGGTTCTGTCTCGATCTTCCCATACTTGCACGTACAAATCTGAACCGTATTCAATGGCCATAAGTACTATTTTTGTATGTATCCTCGTGCAAGTTTTGGGGCAGGTATAAAATATGAGTTTCTTACGATACAGTGTTTTAATCACTGGTACAAACATTAAGTGGAAATTAAAAGAGACAGATAGCGATTATTTGATTTAATGATGTACAGATAATAAATACACATTAAATAACCGAAACGTCTGAGGCTTGAAAATGTTTAAATTTAAATGGCAACACCGGCCAATGTTTCAAGACTCGTCATTACAAGAATCAGTACAGTAAACAAATAGGTATATTGTATAAGATATAAATCGACCTACGTCTTATATCTATTTAAAATTCCATTTAATCGAAGAATGTTTAGGAGATATATTTTTTAAATGGCAACATTTATGTTGAATGTTCTTTTTTAAATATTCTCACAAACAGTCTTCGGCGAGTTGAGAAATGTTTTTCACAGAGATCTTCACACGAATTCGATCTGTTATAATATTACGGTGCCTTAATAATAATTATATAGAACATAAATTAGACCATGTTATATATATAGCGACAAACATAATTCCCATTCAATACATGATTATATTAATATTTGGTTCTTTAGTTAGGGATTCAATGAACAATTCACCATATTTGTGCGATGTGTTCATATCTGAAAAGGTAGGAAAAAATATATTATTAACCAACTTACGTTTTACACTAGTGTTAGCCTTCGGGTTCGCTCGATTTGTTCGAATCACAAAAAATATATAATGAAATATACATTAAACATCTATAAAACCAATTATTTATCTCACAATTTAATGTATTTTTAAGTAATGCAACTTATTTTACTATTTTTAAAGTTAGATAACTTAGTGAATATATAAAAATGATCGTTATAAAAACTATATTATTCATATGTGTTGATAAAAGTTATATGACCAATGTACAGCATAATAAATGTATGTTTGTATGTAAAAATGAAACTCACCTATCAAAAGAAACATAATGACAGCGTTCGCAGCAGGCTCCGAAGGCTATTCTATACATTAAATATATAAATACATAGACGTACACACATCTCACACACAGAACTAACGCTCCATTAAATGCTTTCGTATTGATGATTAACTATACAATAAATAAGCGAAAAATCGTGCCCTGTAAAAACGACGGTACGCGGCCATATTTACAAAATATTTTAGAGTACAACTCAAATAGTATATTTTGAGTTTCCAAAAGTTGAAAAAAAAAAACGATTCAAAAACTTCAATATGACTGGAAAGTGTTTATATACCAAATATATGGTAGTAAACATTGCAACATTCTTCTATTTGAACCGCTGTTACATGACAACACTATATATCAAAAATATCTGAGTTTAAACTCAAAAATATTTCCAAATATGGCGGACACAGGGTGCAAAATGTCAATCAGATCAGAGTAGCTTCAAGCTAACGTCCGTCCGCGAAAATAATCTCCAAAGCGTTTTATTTGTTTCATTGTAATAAAAAATATTCAATATCTGTGGGTATTCAAAGTATTCGCATAGAAAAAGCATTTACGCGATCATTCACACACAAGTCGGGACAACGCGTGAAAAATAGCAGTCGACATTTTGATGAGGTCGGCCATTTTGTGTTATTAAGTGACGCGCTATCGTTGAGTGTGTATCGAGTTTCAATATCGCGAGAAAAACTTTCACGTTTTCGAGATTTAAAATACTTGAAACCCATTTCAATGGAGTCACCTCTTAATGAACACAATTTTGATTTTATAAGATAGAATGTACAATAAAACAAGATACATTAAAATCATCGATTTTTGTAACAGCGTATATAACCTCAGTACAATCTCGATACACACTCGAGCAATTTCACGTGATAATGCACCGTATACTTCATTTGCAATATTAATACGAAAAATATTCGATCGTTAACATTACGATTATAATTTGAGATATCATTAAATATCGATATTATTTTTCGTAACACTTAATGCTTACATCACTATAGACTGTAGATATTAGATATATAGATCAACACAAATTCGTATATCGTGTGATATTTCGTATACGATATACATAGTTATTTTTTCAATGATAATGTTAATACAAACATTATAATACAGGATGTTTGTTTTCCAATACGGCAAACAAAACAAGCGATGCACGATCACGCAAAGTGCGAGGGGTGTTTTTTGGTGTGGGGCTGTTGGGGGGTGTTTGGGGATGTTGGGGGTGCCGGGGGGTGCTGATCTAGTTCCAGATGCGGAGGAACGAGTCCCAGGAGCCGGTGGCGACGGCCATCCCGTTCTCGGTGACGCCAAGACACGACACGCGGTTGTCGTGGCCAGCGAGGATGCCTGAAACCATTTTATGTGTACCATTAATTAACTTTCATATTATAATTACTATAAAAATAAAACACTAGGCTAAGATGCCCAGTAGATAATTCCACACTTAAAATATTATTTTTAGGTGGTTTATACATGACTTATTGCTAGCTCTATTTATTACTATTTATAGAATTAAAGTGCAGTTTGAATTTATTGTACAAAACGTTACATCTATACTTATTAAGAAATAATATGAATGTTCATGTTCCATATTTATTTTTTTATAAAGTTAAAAACTAACTTGTGTGCAGTGATTGCTATTAAATCCTATCAGAGAATCGAACCTGCACCAATAACAAATATATAATAAAAAAAAAACAACAACAAAACCCACCAGCACGTTCGCTCTTCATCGAGTCCCACACGTTACAATTGAAATCATCATATCCAGCCAACAGCAGACGGCCGGACTTCGAGAACGCCACCGACGTGATGCCGCAGATGATGTTATCATGCGAGTACATTGCCAACTCCTGGTCTGCGCGGATATCGAACATGCGACAGGTGGCATCATCCGAGCCAGTTGCAAACGCAAATCCTGATGGGAAGAAGGTGACCGCGTTGATATCACTTTCGTGTCCCGGGAAGGTCTGCTTGCACTGACAATCGCGTATATCCCATAGCTTGGCTGATGCGTCGCAGGCCCCAGAGACGAAACTCCTCTGGTCCGGCGCGAGGGATAGCGACATCACATCTCCTGTGTGTCCGGTGAACTGGCCGCACTGCTGTCCTGTTTCTATATCCCACAGGGCGCAGGTCATATCTCCGGAGGAGGTCAGGATCTGGTTGTCGTCCAGGAACCGGCAGCAGGACAGGTAGCCGGAGTGGCCGGGCAGCTCGCGGGACACGCGCACGTTGCCCTCGCGCGTTTTCAAGCTGTGCAAGATGGATATGAAAAATAACTTTATTAAATTAGATTTATATAAGGAATTTTGAATGGTCCTTTTTATTTGTTTAATTTGATTGCATTAATTTGTAACTGTCATAATCTAAATGAACTTAATATGTATAATATTTCTGTATTGATAACACTTTTACAGATTATTTTTATCATTTATAAGATATAAGAAGATTTTAAAAAAATACTTCACATATGAAGGAAAAGAAATCAATACAATCACATACGGAATTCACAATATAAGACGCAATATGAGCTCAGACCAATCGGTTTGTTTTTGTGTTTTGTTCTATTGTCATCATAAAATTGGTCATTAAATATAATTGAATAAATATCTATAATTCAGTTTTAGTATGTACGTATGTTCATATGTAAATCTAATCATCAATATGAATGAAGAATCATCAAAGCCCAAGCTTTTCTTAATTTTTTCTTTATCTTAGAAAACCAAGTGAAGCAGGTTCAAATACCGGGTATCGCACCTCTAATGTGCGAATCATTTCCGACATGATTACCATTTGTCTTACGGTAAAAGAAAATATCGTGAGGAAACCTGCATGTGTGAGAGAACCTAGCACGTTTCCGAAAGACATGCTAAGTCCGCCCGAACTTGGCCCAGCGTGGTGGACTATGCCTGATCCTCTTCGTATTGAAGGGAGGCCCGTGCCCAGCGGTGAGAGATTAAAAAGGACAATACAATACATACCGAATATGTACCATAATAACTTTGACTCTAAGGTTCAACCTGAGTAGCTACTAACAAAATTCTAATTCAAACTAAAGACGGAATAACTACTTCAAAGGTTTCAATCTGTAGACCAACTATAACATAGTAAAAAAATCCCACATAGTATTGAAGGCTTTTGCACCCCAGTGGGAAGTTATAAGGACTGAAATGAATAAATTAATACAGTATTAAAATAATTCGACTCACCTATAAATAGAACATATGTTGTCCAGTCCACCGCACGCTACGTAGGAGCCGGAGGGTGCGTACGCGCAGGTCATCACCCACGAGGAGCGGAGCGGGATCGCGTGCACCTTGTTCGTCGTGTGACTGTCCCACACTATAAGCTTGCCGTCCTGGCTGGCGGACACTAGGTTCCTGTGGGTTGGGAATGTTTTTGTAAAAATATTCTTGTAATATAAAAAACACACCGAAAGTGACAAAGATGGTTTATTTCTAACAGGGATCTACCAGTCAACTCATGTAAGTCGGAAGTAGTAATAACTAGCGCCATATAAAAATAAAGAACAGGGAACTAACTGGAAGGTATAATTGTATGTAATACTAGCATTTCCCGCGGTTCCGCCCGCGTTCAGATGACCAAAAACCAAATTCTTGGGTTTTACATATTAGTATACTCTTACAATGCAGTTTTTGTATTTTTTCTCAGAAATGAGACGTTTTCCCGCAGTAAAAATATCCTATATGTTGACCAGGATAACCAGCTACATATCATCATACCAAATGATTATTGCTCGGCTGCGTCCCTAGGTATGCAGATTTTGTTCGCAATTTTCCATGGGTTTTAATTCTTTTGCGCGGAACCCTAATACTTCTTAAATAAAAGTAGCATAAATTATTCCTTATAACATCAGCTATCTGCCAGTGAAAGGCCCGACAAAACCGTATATACTTTCATATGTTTTTATTAAAAAGCTTATTTCGACATTACCTACAAGTAGACACTTTAATTTTATAGATATAGATTATTTGTTTCATCTGCCTTTTTTCCTTTCCACTTGAAAGACCTTTTTTGATTGCATGTTTTTGTCTCTACTCTAATTGTAAGTTGTGTATGAACTAAACGACAGTATTTTTGTTATATCCGATTATTATAAACCATATGAATAATTACAAAAAAATAATTACGTCAACATTTTTGAGATCGTCTCAATGTTTACCTAATCATGTTTATAACATGTGTTTAGCAACCAAACTTCAAATCATTTTTATATAAAAACATACATACGGCTTTTATCGAAGAGACATTATTGGAAAAACCCATATATCGACATTACCTATGTACAATGTCAAGCGTGTAAAATCATTTAATATATTCAACAAAAACAATACATTGAAAATATCCGACGTATAAGACGTCATTCTCAAAGTGAAACGTGAGCTAAATTCATAGTCATAATTTTATTTTAGACACCATCTCAGCTTTGTTTTGTTTGCATCTCGCTCTTATATGCCGATACGGTAATTCACTGTAAGAGCTTATTCCACTGTACTTTTTGGGATAAAAATAGCATACGTAGATTACGACTCAAGAGGGACTTTAGAAAAAGTAAATTGTTTTTTTTTGTAGATAATATTACTGGTCTACATTTATAAGAAATATGTATCGTACATAATTTAGTGTTAATAATACTAAAATTCCGTTAAGAATATATTGATTAAATTCATTTCCACTTGCGTATGTTTAAAAAAAAACAAATAAATTCAAGAAGCGAGTATTGCAAAAATAAAGCAACTATTGTAGCAGATATTACCAGATATTATGCTAGTAATTTATATAAAAAATATGGGACATTTTTGTATTGCATCACATAGATTTGATAGATTAAAAAATCTATTCTTTATCGATTTTAGAATGACATCTTGCTTAAATCCCGTGATTTTGACTAACAAACTGATTATTTTATAACTTGAAAATAGAAAAGAAATTAACGTTCAAAATTAAAACATATATATATATATATATATATATATATATATATATATATATATATATATATATATATATATATATATATATATATATATATATCACTTTGGTTGTAACATCTAATCTTAAGAAAATCTCGAAATAAGGTTAAGTCACAATGCTTTCTAAGTTTCTACCAGACATGTAGTAAATGGTCATATTACGATGTATTTAGTTTTGAATGTGTCTTTGTCACGTAAAACTCATTAACTACACGAATATGTATACCTATACTAGTTATAACAGAAGACTTTGCCTATTAAATCTATACATACGTATAATAAAGTTCTGAGTCAAATCTGTACAGTAAATATTTTTTGAAAAATCTTTAGAAATAGTTTATTATTAATAGAGGCCGAATCTATAGTTTTTATAATTCCTGTCTGTCTGTCTGAGAACGCATTACGAGAAAACCACTGGACAGATTTTGATGAAGTTTGGTATGATGATAGCTGGTTATATGGATCAACATATAGGACGCTTTTTACTGCGGGAATATATCTGATTTCCGAGAAGTCTATACTAACCATTAAAACTAGGGACGAACGAAGAGCGAGCGAAGAGGGGGTGAGTCGCTAGTTAAGATATATAATTTTAATTATTATAGAAAAATATGTTAGATACAGAAACTTATTTAAAGAAAATTTTCTAAATAAAACCTCGACTAACAAGAGGATCTTAAAGGGGCGTAAATTTATGGGAAACTGCTACTTTAAGTATAAACATATAAAAATCATCACAACTTGTTATTGTGGCATGGTCACATGTCGCTAACCTTAAGAGAAGATTACATATAGTTTTTTATACAGTTTGAATAGATAATTTACGCTAATGTTTGACATTTTAAATAAAACTATATTTATTTTGATTTTTGGTTCCTCAAAAGACGTTTCGAATGCTTTACAGCAAGATAGTTTTATTTAAAACTACATAAAACTTCATCTACTCATTCTCAAAAACCCTACTGTTTTCTCAAAAAGAAATATCAAATTAGATTAAGCAAAATGTATGAAAAAATCACTTAATTTTTTATATAAGAAGAATTGTCAGACGCGATACAGGTGACCTACATACATACAGATGGAATCTACAGATTTTAGCGGATATCACTGTTATTGTTTCAATCTCACATTCCTTCCTTCGATTGAGGAAAACTTGAGGCGATTCAATTTTATGCGCGTCTCTTGGAAATTGTGAACTGGAGAACTGTTTGTAAACACAGTTTTATAGGTGAGAGAAGTATTTGGAAGATGTTTTATCGTAAATAATAAAAAGTAATACGAATACGAATGATATGTCGGTCGCTTTAATTTTCAATCAATGCTGATAATCGATATGAGATACCTTAATCTTAACATCTAACGACTTCATTAACTTTATCAATATCGATATTCTGATAAATTATCATCATTTTCCTCTACCGATAACCTGAATATCAATAATACAAAAATTTAAATAATAAATAAGACGACACATATCAAGTAGTAACAACCAACGGGATACAATATATAAAATCAGAAGATATGTATTAGGTCGCAATGAACATAATCGTGTATAATTCGAGCACATAAGCGCGTGCATTACTACGAGACCGTTGACAACCGTAATATTAGCATATTGTGAGAAAATAACGAATCTACATCTAAAAAAATTTGTACAATCTTTTAAGTAATTCAAAACTAATATTAGATACCCGTTTAGAAAGACAAAACATGACGTTATGAATCAGCAACTAATACGCAATAGGTGCCTTAAAATAATATATATTTTTTTCGTTATGTTTGTTTTGTCCTAATATGGTGTAAAATACACAGAATCTATTTATCTAATATGCTAAATAATAAAGGTAGATTATTCTTAGGAAACAAGTTAAAAGCTAGTTTTTGCCCGTGGCTCTGCTCACGTGGTAGAGACCGATTCTAATTAGTAATTATTTTACTCAAATCTGTTGAAGTATCGTATTTGTAATAATAATGTAACTATACTCGTAGTATAAAGGTTTCTTATGATGAATTTCAATAACATAATATTATTGTATTGCCGAATTGGAAAATAGATTTTGACCGAAAGATCGACAGTCATAGTTAAATCAAAGAACATATATAAAAAATCTCAAATATTCAAATTTTTCAATTCCTTAAAAAGTGACTTATGGAGTTTGGGTAAGACACTTTTTGACCATCGATATCATTAGTATAACTAGTTACGTTACCTGGAGTCACTTCCCCAGTGCATCGCATAGATCTTGGCGAGGTGACCGCGCAGAGTGCGGCGCGTACGCATCTGTATGCGCCCGATCGGCTCCAGGCTGCCGGTGGCCTGCGCAAGCGACGTGTCGCATGCTGCTTTGCGAGCGTCCTGTATTAACAAAATATACGTTACACTCAAACAAAAAAAGAAACATACAGAGTAAAGAACATTAAAAGGGATGCCAAACGCACATTTCCAGTTACTTACGGGAAATACTTGAAACTGCGACCATAATCACAATGGTCGGGCGTATTCTGTGCTTATACAAAGACCATTTCTGGCGTCAATTGCTGTGTTCACGCAAATTCTATATAGTTCTATTAATATGAAATGTTAATATTAAATTAATTTAATATTTCATCAATGTTTTGTTTTTCTTAGTGTTATGACAACATCAAAGAAGCAGGCACCAATCAGTCTCTTTAAGCAATAAATTCAAATGAGACTATCGTTAATTAATTCGTTTTTATATTATTTGTTTTGATTGTTGATTCCGGAAAAATACGATTTTTTTACGTCAACGTTCATTTTGAACCTCTGCACGTTTGTGTAAACAAACTAATATGTTTTAAAAACATATACAAAAATAGGAAGCAAAAAAGAAGTTTATAGTATTTTAAAGGTTTTAGTTTATAGGTATATAATTATGTACTGAATATATAAAAATTTGCTTTTAATAGTACATAATTTTTACAAAAAAAATTATAATACCAAGTAATGCTCTTTCCGACACCTCTTTTATAACCGACACTAGCACAGTTCATGTTTACTCGCTTTCCACTAATGATTTAATGGAAAGCTATATAAATTGCAATAGTTTGCGAGAATTTTCATAATCCACTGGAAATAAAGCTCCAAACAACGTTCGCTATTTTCGCTGAAGTTTCATTCAAACTTCGCTAACATTTCAGGATACATAAAACAGCCTCTACTCACTAAATTCATGAATTTCAACGTAAAACAAAAGTTAATTTAGCGCTTTATAGTCTAGCATTGTAACAAACAGAATGATAAGATATCGATCAAATGTTTAAAACTAGAAGGTATGTATGTATTCATCCCTTTTTAACGTCCTACTGCTGGGCACAGGCTTCTCTTCAATGCGATGGGGATCAGGCCACAGTCCACCACGTTGGCCAAGTTTGGGTTGGTATACAGCACAAGTCTTTCTAAAATTGTTAGAATCTCTCAGAGCGAGACCCGGGCTTTGAACCCGCTCAACTCAGTTTCGCAAGCGACTGCGTTACCACTGTCCGATTGTTTGATAATAGCAACTTTTCGTTTTCATCACTCGTGTAACTCCCGGTATACCTTCTCCGAGAAGCTAAGAATTCTCATACAGAAAGAAACTTTCGTATATGTAATAATAGGCCGATTATAAATTTTACTAACTAGCTTATTTAGCCTACACGTTTGTTTGTGTTTATATAAACAAAAAATTGGAACGAAACATGTTCTAGATAAAATTAAAGTAATCATATGAAAGCATTGATATCAATTCTCTATAATAACCATTTATCTTAATTGTATTAAACACTCATGATAATATTATAATGCAGAAAGCAGAAACGTATTAATTGAAGTAATATTATTTGATCCCCAAAACTGTAATAGGAAAAATGTTCACAAAAATAATATGCGTAGGTGATTATATTATAAGCAAAACCAAACCATAGACTTTAACATCTCATCTAAGGCAATAGATAGGTCTCGGAATCTATAAAATCTACACATATAATAAAATTTTAACTAAGCCAAATCTGTACATTAAATATTTTTTGGAAAATCTTATTGAAGTAGACATTATTATCGATACAGATTCCAAATCTATAGTTTTTAGAATTTTTGTCTGTCTGTCTGTTTGTCTGTTACCGCATCACGAGAAAACCACTGGACAGATTTTGAGAGCTGGTTATCCTGGTCAACATATAGGATACTTTTTACCGCGGGAAAATATCTCATTTCTGAGAAAAAAATACAAAAAGTGCATTGTAAGAGTATACTAATATGTAAAACATAAGAATTTGGATTTTGGTCATCTGAACGCGGGCGGAGCCGCAGGCAATGCTAGTAACGTATATATCCGTAAGCAATGTATCTGGCCCGTCCATCGTCGACGCGTAAACATTGAGCAATTGCAATAGGAACAATCGCGAGGCCGATTAAATCCGGCAGTCACGCACTACCACAGGATATTTTAATCTAACTTCACTATAACGTACATAAGTTTATTTACTCACTAGCCTATGTGTTGTTCCAAGTTAAACTCTATCAGTGTACAAATTTTTTTCTAATTCTGCTTAGCCATTTGAACGTGAAGGAGTAACAAAAATATCTGAAGTTTTCTCTACTAGAAATAGAAATTCATACTAATACAAATGTCATCAAAATCTGTACAGTGGCTTTCTCGTGATGCGTTCCCAGACAGACTGTGTGTATGTCAGACAAAAATTCTAAAAATTAGATTCGGCCTCTGTATCGATAATAATGGAAACTTTCTTACAAGATTTTCCAAATAATATTTTATGTACAGGTTCGACTCAGAATTTTATTATACCTATGTATAGACCTGAAAGTTTGTAAGATTGGATGAATGGATATTTGTTATTCTTTCACGCCAGAACAGCTGAAAGGATCTGGACGAAATTTGGCACAGAAATAGATTTTAGCCTGGAATAATACATAGGTTACTTTTCATCCCAGAAAAATGTACGGTTCGTACGTGGAATAGATTTTTGTGTAGGGATGAACCGGAAGTGAAGCGAGGGCGAGTCGCTAGTATGACGTAAGCTCCGTACAAATTGTTAGCTATAATGAGAACCAAAGGCTTGATAGGTTATTTGGATCCGCCGTTAGTTACGAGCGATTTACCATTGATTCGCTCTAGTTTTCCTTAGGTGACTTTTGTATTCATAATAATATTCACAGGTAGTTTTTTTATTACTACTTGTATTTGTACTACTTTAGGTTATAGTCTATCTTTGTACTGATCCAAATCGGTCCAGCCGTTTTAATTTAACATATCATTTCTTTTATAATACCTAATAGTAAAATAGATAAAATGTATGGTAGTAGGACACGTAAATTCTCACGTCGGTCATATTGTATAACAACAATAATGTTATAACAAATTATTCAATGAGTTATTTTTTTTTAATGTCTCACCGTTTCTTCTAACAGATCTACATTTCTACCTCTGCTAGAAAATTGTAACGTTTTGATGGATTGACAACAATAACAATCGATTCAAACTACAATTAACTATACTTTGTTCAAATGTATATAAGCATTAAATATATTATGTAATGTCAACGATATAAACTTAATTGTGTATTATAAAATACGTGTGGTGTTGCCAGCACTTCCACCTGAAGCCAAATATCAACAACTCAAATCAAAAATATATAATTTTTATAGCTCAATGTTTGTACAAATGAACATTTTTTCATACAAATAAATAAATGAGTCAACCAATAATTGTAGTATAAAATCGCACGTCCATAAATGTGGAAAATATAAATAAATATTTTGCGGCGACTTACATCAAACGGGAAGGAAACAAACAGTTCTAATTTCGTATAATTGTTAGTAATAGATGGTGTCCTTTAGTTTTGGCGATGCAAGGTCTCAGACATCGTTCTTAGCATTTATAATAAACGTGATTAGTATTTTATTTTTCTTTGCCATAGATACGTCAAAGACCAAGAGATAATATTTGGTAGTAGCGACTCGCCCCCGCTTCGTTCGGATGCGTCCCTATGAACCTAACAGGGTATGCTATGTGTTATTCCAAGTCATAATATATCATTACATGTTATAAAATAAAGTCCCCCGCCGCGTCTGTCTGTCGGTCTGAACGCGATAAACTTAAAAACTACCGAACAGATTTTCGTACGGTTGTCACCAATGGACGGAGTGATTCGTGAGGTAGGTTTAGGTGTATAATTTATTACGGTTTTGTGCAAATTGGCTGAAATATGACGATTATTGTTGAAAATGTCAGAAAAAATCATGCCAACTTTATTGGCGTGCGCCGCGCAAACTAATAAAGTGATATGAAAATAGTTTATTACAGAATTATTTCTCTTAAAAATATCTTCCTATTAAACTGTAGGAACGCTATGCGCACGTACCTAGGGACATACCTGAGTGAAGTGAGGGCAAGTCGCTAGTCTGCTAAAGTTCATCCAAATATGTACGTTCAGTCCTTATAGCTTGAAGGAGTACCAAACATACATACACACATTCCGATATATACATACATATGTATCTATGTAATAATAGTGTATAAAAATATTATTTTCCTCCAGTATAAGTTTTCACATTTCATTTAAAAAACATACGTACCCGGATGGCATTCTTGAGTGTTTCCGCCTCCTGGCGTAGGCTGTCAAGTTCGTTCATGGTGCACTAGCTCGATACCCTTCTTAGCTTATGCTAGCCTGCGCGCGTAACTCGTTACGCACACTGCACCAACCTGTGGGCAAAAATTACAATTGTATACACATAATAAATAATTCATAGTAACATTACAAACGCTGAAGTAACTGTTTTTATTTTACTTTTTTTATTTCGGATAGATACTTCTAAGTGGAAAATATTTTATATTGAAAAATGAAAATCATTGAATTTACATACATGTGAAAACTTCAGACTTACTATTTATATATGAATAAATGATAAAGATACTTAGATATTACAATCACGAAAGAGAGCCTTAACTATAAGTTTTCACTACAAATAGCTATGCTATAAGTAAATGAATCAGCACAAGTACATACCAATCTATAAAATATAAAAAAATTCTAAATGGATCGAATATGTGTATTATTATTTTTTTTTTGGAAAATTTATTGAAGTAGGTAGTTATTATTATCGATACAGAATCCGAATCTATAGTTTTTAGATTTTTTTTTGTTTGTCAATCTGTGACCGCAACACAAGAAAACCACTGGACATATTTGAATGAAATTTGGTATGCTGATAGCTGGTTATTCCCTCAAAGACCGCGGGCACGCCGGCGTTACAGTTAACAATAGATTTCTTAGAAATTTAATTAATTTCTTAGAAATTTACCTGGACGTGATATGTGGGTCAACATATAGGATAATTTTTACTGCGGGAAAATATCTCATCTCTGAGAAATCTATACTAAAGGTTAAAATAAAATGTAACCAGGGACGAACCCGAGCGGAGCGAGGGTGAGTTGCTAGTTTACAATAAAATAGTAAAAAAAACTAAAATACGAACTACTTATACCAATAAAAAAAACAATATCAAATATAACTGACTTATTTATTGGCCAAATGTAACTAGACACGACAGATTCTCACAGGAAACTTGACAGTGACTTATGCCAAAATCAATAAAACACATTACCTATTGTAAATAAAAAGTCAAACTTTTTAAAAAAAATTTGATATTTTTTTAAAATAGATGAAGTTCAGATTTCAGTTTCACTGATCTTGGTAATTATGGTCTAAAATTCAAGAGTTGTTTTATGTATGTATCAATGTAACGAATCCAGTACGTTTGGGGGAAGAGTGTATGTAAAAAGTATCTTACTAATATTATAAATGTGCAAGTTTACATGTTTGGATGTTTGTTACTCAATCACGCCAAAACAGCTGCACGGATCTGGATGAAATTTAGCACAGAGATAGATTATAGTTTGGAATAGCACATACATACTTTTTATCCCGGAGTAATGTATAGTTCCAGTGGGATCCATTTGTTTTTGTTTTCGCTCTAGTAGTAAATAAAACGTAAAGTATTGATTGATATATGTAATGTAAAGTGTGGTGTAATTCTTACATGTGAATCTATAATTATTATACGTTTGAAGTATATTCTGGTGGTTTTCATTATAGTATAGTAAATCACTAAACTCTACAATTGCAAGTAGAACCTATTTCCGCCTATACATATTATAATAATAATACATTTAAAGTTGTCTATTTGCAATATAAGCGACCTGATTTTATTCATCAGACTGTGATGAAATTTTTGTGAATAATAATTATGATAGGGCGACGCCTTCGAAGGTTTTTGACATCGTAACTTTAGCGAACGATAGGTGGTTAGCAATAAGGCTTGTTTCTCGAATCTGACCCGAATTTATTTCTTACTTTAGAAATTAATAACTTCCATCCTCCATATTTTCATTGGCCTATTTACAATCTTTAGGATATTAATTTTCAAAAATCGTTTCTTAGTATAAGGAACCTTTATAAGAAACCCATGGGCAAAATATAATCAAAAAGATCTAACTTTTTAGGCTAAGCATTACTATTAAATTCGCATATTTACATATGATATAGATACATATTATATAGGTACATATGTGTATGTACTTGGTAATAGTATCACTCTATATATGAGCAAAGTAAGGGAGACTTGTTAGTAGTTACCCACCATAATTAAAATATAACCAATGAATAATATGAAAATCGATAAATATTTTCATTTGACTAATGATTGTTCCATCCATGCATATACCTATAAAATTTAACAAATTATAATTCATATCTAATGCGGTTTCACTATGCACATCGGTATGCGCCTTCAATCTAAGTAACAGCGGGATGCCATATACAGCACAATGGTGCAATGGCACAATGGTGAAGCAGAACCCATACAACACTGCGATATATATTTTTATGTGATTCAAATACAAGGTGGCGCAAAATTAATCACCCAATTGCACCATCTTGTTGAAACCACATGTTCACCAGCCTCGCTCATCTAATCATCATCATCAGTCATAGTTTATCATGGCCCTGTAGCGTTTGCCAGCGACAGTGACCATATGGCCGATGAAGTCCTCAAAAAAATACGGCCCAATCACTTCTCCCGCGTGAACGCACCACACTACAATTTCACTAAAATTCGCGATAGGACCCGTCTAGTGATACCCAATTGGGTGGCCCGTCGTCTGGTTAATGTTTCTTCGTTCTCAGCGATATCAGCAGCCATAGCCTCGATATTCTCGGCTGAACGACCAGTCTGGTGACGGCTTTTACCTGCAAGGCTTGTGTAGTTCCAGTCTGTTTGAGTCGAGCAGCTAAACGCCGGAATGTTTGGCCAGTTGGCGCGACACGATTAGGAAATCGACGTCGAAATTCACGCTCCGCCAACACCACCGACCGATTATTGGTTGAGAAAATCGACTCAATTATTCCATGCTTTAGCTGAGTATATCGCTCCACTGCTTGTCTGTCTGTATACTGCAGCTGTCTAGATGACAAATGTCAAATATGATAAACGTACGACGCCATTTGTACAAATTATAACAATTTTCGATAGGGTGATTAATTTTGCTCCACCTTGTATAAGAGAAGTATTTTAATTAATAGAGTAACATATCTATATATAAATAGGCAAAGATAAAACAGTTCAGTACCTTTTCTCGTCTGTTTGTCAACATCTTTTCTTTTTTTTTGTTTAGTAGCTATTGACGAGCTTTAGTGTATTATCAATAAAAACATGATCACATGAAACGAACATAAGTAATTGAAAACGTGCATGTACGTGAATAAATATGCAAGAACACATTCACGCGCACTTTCCTATTTCTACTTCGTATTCGGCAACGAAAGTTTATGAGACACAAGCAGTAGTATGTTTTGACCATATATAATTGGACACATCTTATAAACGAATTTTAGTGCCAATTTATCCATTTCAAATATTCTTCAACGCGAACCAAATCCAGGACTTCTAGATAGCAATGAAAATCAGATCGTCTAAAACTACGGTTTAGATTGTTTGAAAATCTAGTGCTACGAGAAATATAGTGTAACTCTGCCTTTGGATATAGTTTATTTTCCAATACTTATTGTAGCCAAGTTAAAAAACTGGAGGAGCTCAGCAGAAGAGAGGGCCTATGGAGAAATCTCTCTTTTGTTAAATCTATACATATAAATAAAATTGAAGTGTCTGTATGTAATTACAAAATAACAGCTTTTTACTAAATGCATATGAAAGTATATACGATAGGTATTTATAAAAAACAAATTTTATTTTTTTTGTCTGTTTGTTTGTTCCTTTTAGCTTATATCATGATAAAGGGAGTAACAAAATCCGCGTAACCTAGGAATTCAATCGAGGATAAGTCGCTAGTTAAATCTATACATATAAAAGACAAGTATATCTGGGTTTGCTAATTAAACCACTCTTACACCTACCCACATACAATGTTACGTATGAAAAGTATCTAACATTTTTTTTATATCGGTAATTTCAATTGAATTGTCCAGTGTAAAGCATGCCCGATGAATACACAATATGATAATGATTACTATCGTCGGTGAATCGATTATAAATTAATTATCGAGCGCAGTTAATGCAACTGGGTACGGCGATAAATAATATCTCGTCGACTTTATCTCAGAGCAACACAAAACATTAATTAACGCTGTTGTGAACTCACTAATTACTTTATATAAAATAATAACTAGTATAAATCCAGCTTTGATTTTTTATTTACTACTAGGGACTCACCTAGACAAAAACAAATCTAGCCCACAGGAACCGTACAATTTTCCGGGATGATATATAGTCTATAGCCTTCCTCAATAAACGGGCTATATAACGCAAAAAGAATTTTTCAAATCGGATTAGTAATTCCTGAGATTAGCGCGTTCAAACAAACAAACAAACAAGATGGTATTTATAATAATACGCTACATACTATTACACATTATATCTCAGAACCTACGTTAGCCTAGATGATGTACGAAAAAAAGCTAGCAATAATCAAAGCTAAAAAAGATCATTTCATATATTATCTATAATATAAAGCCTTTTAATTAAAAGCTGAAGAGTTTATATGTTTTATCGTTTCTTTCAAAGTCTTAACATGTGGAACTACCATTGCCTCCTGGTAGGTACTTCTCTGATGGCAGAGTGGACCGTGATGAGCCGCCTGGGCCGGGTTCAGGTTTCCAGGTTCCGTTTGGTTTTAGAGGGTATTACTGGCTTTTTTAGCCCCATATAACTACTTGTATGTATGCAGGTGATATGCATTTCCCAAAGTCAAAAATAAAAATGTGCCTATTATCACGCTACGTTCATTAAGCGGTGAGCAAATATAAACTACGCGGACGGAGTCGCAGGTAAATGGCAGTATCAGAAGAACTAAGTAAATTTTAATTTATTTATCACGTAAGCTTATAAAAAATAATTAATTTCGCTACCTCAATGTTAAACAATGACATATTTATTTAATACGACTAAATAATACACGGCAAGGTTACCGTACATTTTGTTTTAAATTATAATCACTTTAATTTATCCAGGCGCGAAACAAAAGCTTGGCTAGAGTTCCCTACATCTATATAAGGACATGGATCAACATCAGTAAAAAAATAATAAAAATCATCACGTCAGTAAAAAGGTGAGTA